CAAGAGTGACTCCCCATTCACTATCTTTCAAATTCAGTTTACAAATTACAATCAACTCAGCAGAAGAACCAGTAAAAAGTAAACTAATTAAAAAGATAATCACCTCCTTAGAAACCCACTAAGGATGAACACCTCCCTAGAATCCCACTAGGGATGAACACCTCCTCTGAACAAATCAAAGGATGAAAAAACACCTCCTTAGAATCCCACTAAGGATGAACACCTCCCTAGAATCACACTAGGGATGAAAAACACCTCCTTTGCCACCAATACACAAAGGATGAAGGTAATAAAAATAAGAACAGTCACACCTGGGTAATGGAGACAACAAATTGTAGAAGCCTGTAGAATGTCAATCTCCAAGAACAAGTGTGATTAACAATGAGAGCACAGAAGACAGCAGAGAGAAGAGGGTTTTCTCAAAAGGTATAAAATATCTTTGTTGTCTTGTTCAGAATTCTTTTCTCAAAACTAATTAAATGTAAATTGTATTTTCGAATTCTGTAATTGTGTATTTTTTATTTTTCATCAAAACTTAATTAAATAGAAAAATAGCATAAGAAAATGGCCGTTGGACATTAATATTTTTGTGAATAAAAATTAGGATATATTCAAAATCATTTATTCTTTAAAACGGATATATTTTTCAAATTTGAATTGCCATAATTGATTATGTTACCAGTATAATCAATTATGATAAAGAAAATCATTTTTCCATTTCTTATGCATCATAATTGATTATGACAGTAAAAAATATCATGTTATGAAATTTTATCACACTTGTACTTTGGAGGCTTATGCATAATATTACTTCATCAACTTGTACCTCCATATCCAATATTCTAAGACTCTATCTAGTATTTAGGAATCATCTTGGACTTGTTTGAGTCTTGAATGTTGTTGACTTGAATCATCATCAAAATCATCTTTTGGGAATGTAGGGACATGTTTCACATTGTCATCAATCTCCCCCTCATTGCTTTCATAATTGATATATAAGTTTGAAGGATAAAATAAATAATTTTAAGATATTTAAATTTTTTATGTCTAAGTAAAGGTAACTATTTTTTTGAACGAATATTATAAGGTGCTAATACCTTCCTTACACATAATCGACTCTTAAACCTAATCTTTATTTCGTAGACCACTTTTTTTTCTTTTTGACGGTTTTTTCCGATATTTTTCCTTAAAATAAATATTGTTGGCGACTCCATTGTTTTTCTTTCATTTAGAAACTTAATTTTGTTGTCCAGTAGCGATTCTGATTGCGACAGATGGCGACTCAACTGGGGACACGTTGAGTCAAGCCTATCATAATTAGATGTAAAAAAAAAGGGGGCTAAAATCTTTTATTATTTGTTGCATCCCTCTTTGTTTAACTTTATAGGTACGCGTTTATTTTAACCTCACTTATTCATTGTAAAATATCAGTACTTCAATAAAATCCTAGGATAGAAGACATATTCCTATTGTGTACTCCTTGTTTGTTTTGTAGGTTAGTTTAGGACTAGCCCCTTCACACACTACACTCACATCTATTCACACTTACGAGTGAGGTCCTATACCCGGACCTGAGTGTATCCTAAGGAGTGAAAGACAATTAGTGGTGCCATTTTGGATGTACTTCCAATCTGGTAATCATGAAAGTCTTACCTAGAGCGTGACTCTTTCGTAAGTTCCTAGACCTTGGATGTACTTCCAATTTGTAGTCACAAACCGAGATGAGTACTAAACTCTAGAGATCAAGAGAGTTTTAGATGTTTGATTACCTTTGATAAGACTCACTTGCTAGAGAAAATCATTAGACTTGTAAGATACATATTATTACCTCTTAAAACACTATAGGACATCTTTATCCATATCCAATACTCTTTCTTTCTCATTACTTTACCATGTTATATATATATATATATATATATATATATATATATATATATTTTACATTAAGAACATAATAATTTCTTAACAATTCTTTTCAATATCATATTTGCATGCATCATTTCATACTCATTCATTCTTATTTTGCATTAATTAGGTTTATTGGAGAATAGTAAACATTAAAGATTGATTTAGGGTACTTGAAAAAAATAAGACATGGGATCAGGTTGTGAGACAAAAGGGACAATTTCTGTGAAAGTTAAGATGTCTGATGTTCAATTTTTACAACCTTATAGTAATTTGGTGAAAGGGGTTAAGTGTGTAGCTTTCACAAAGAAATATGGAAATATCTTGGATTTACTAGAGCTCAATGTGAAAGTGGAGGTCATATCAACATTAACACAATTTTATGATCATCCCTTGAGGTGCTTTACATTTTGTGACTTCCAATTGAAACCCACGTTGGAAGAATATTAGCGAATTTTAGGGATATCATTGAAAGATAGCAAACCTTACAACCATCAGGGGCATCATCCTTCTATGAAGACAATGACATGTTTGTTAAGAGTTCAAAAGCAAGAGTTGGAAAGGAGAAAATTAAGCAGGAATGACATATATGGGTTTCCAAGAAGTTATTTAGTGGAAAGGATGAAAACCTTATTCGAAGAGAATGATTGGATTGGTTTTACTGAAGTTTTGGCCCTCACTATCTATGAAATTGTTCTCTTTCTACATCTTGAAGATTACATAGATTTCTTTGCTATAGATGTGCTTTTGGCTCTCCAGAATAGAGGAGACAATCCAGTATCGGTTATCCTAGAAGATACATATTGTACTCTCAATTTTTGTTATGAAAAGGGTAGAAAGAAATTAGTTTGTTGTTTATCACTACTCTATGTGTGGCTCACTATCATGTATTCTCTAACAAATGCAATTTACCATCCCCTATTGCAGATGTTAAATGCAGTTGTGTAAAAAATAAAACCAGTAAGGAGTGGGCACAATTTTTAGCAAATCTCAGTGAAAAGTCCATCAGTTGGTATCCAAGTTGTAACAAAGTGGATGATATCATTTACCAGTGTGGACAGTGACGGATCTTCTTGGGAGCTGAGGGGGGCCATGATCCCCCCAAAGTTTTGTAACTCCCATGTAATTTATGATTTTGGTCCCCCCAAACTTAATGAACATTTAATATATTTACTTGTATATTTACAATTTTATCTTCTCGCCCTCCTCGGTTTTGTAACTTTCATATATATATTTATGATTTTGTCCCTCTCAAACTTAATGATCATTTAATATATTTAAGTATATATCTACAATTTTATCCTTTCACCCTTTCATATTATTTCTTCCTTTTATATTTATTTATTATTTATTAATAATATATTATTTGACCTTCCCAAGATCAATGGTCAAGATCTGCAGCTGAGTGTGGAACTTTTCCTAATGTGCCACTTATGGGGACTAAAGGGTGCATCAATTATAATCCGGCTTTGGTTTTGAGACAATTAAGTTATCCTGTGTTGAAACCTCCAATAGAAGAATCAATTACATCATTTATGTGTGAGATGAATCAATTCTAATTTGTTTATTTCATAATTATTCGAAGTATACTTTTAATTTAGCAACACTAATAAATAAGTTTAAATAAATTACTCACAAATACATTTATATATAGATAAAAAAAGAACTACGTTATTCCGATTCTCCATTGTATCCAGGAGATACCTAGGAGCAAGGAGATAATCTCTGTCGAGTTAAAAGATATAAAAGTATATAATTTTTTATTTTTAGTAACAACATTTAATCAATATATAAGTTTGAGGGATAAAATAAATAATTTTAAGATATTTAAATTTTTTTATGTCTAATTAAAAGTAACCGTTTTTTTGAACGGATGTTGTAAGGTACTAATACCTTCTTTACACATAATCAACTCTCGAACTCAATCTTTATTTTGTACACCACTTTTTTTTTTTTTAAAATTTTTTCCAATATTTTTCCTTAAAATAAATATTGGTGGTGACTCCATTATTTTTTTTTATTTAGAAACTTAATTTTATGCTTCAGTCGCGATTCTTCTTGCGACAATTGAAAACTTGATCTTTATGTTATGCATTATTTGTGCATGCCTTTTTTTAACTTTTAAAAATAAATTAATTTTCCATACTATGAAATCTAAAGGACACGATGCTAGTTGGGCTGAAGAACATAGGAAATGCCTTTTCTTCTTGCACCATAAAATCCTCATTCTGCTCCCTTTTTAAAGTTTGAGATGAACAAATTGTCCTTAAAAATTTTCCAATCTTAGTTGCATTTCCACAAAAGTTCTATTCCTCCGTAAAGCACATTTAAGATAAAATTAATTGTTCGGAAAAGATTATCATAGAACGAATTAACATTGTTTGGGTAAAGGTGATGTAAAAAAAAAAAAAAATTAACATTGTTACAAAAGGATAGAAAAATGTTTCTTTAACAAAAATTATTCCAAATTAGCAATTTGAAATGTACATAAACTCATTCTTGAAGGATCAGTTTAGAATGAATTATAAATTCTTAAAAAAGAAAAGTTCATTTCATAATAGTAAATCTCATCAAAATAAAGTTATATTATTTCTTTATTATGGTGTAGCATACTTTAATCTAAATATGAAATTTTTTTAAAAATAACCCATTTACGTGATATATATAAAATAATTTTTTTTCCCTTAATGGCAAAAATATTTCCCAAGTCCATTAAATAACGGGTTCTCATATTTTGACATAAAAAAAACTAAAAACATCCATTCAACAATTTACTTTTATATTTTTATATTATTAATTATCTATCTTACTCTATTCTCTTTTCATCAATTAACTAAAAAATTAATATTTTAAGATTGTTAAATTCCCTTTTAGATTTTTATATTATTAATTATCTATTTTACTTTATTCTCTTTTCATCAATTAATTAAAAATTTAATATTTTAAGATTGTTAATAAGATGAATGGGTTCTTTCCCTTAAATAACTGCCAACAAAAGGGTAACCTTAAACAGGTAGGTACACACATACATGATGGCATATGTTGTTCCTAATACATGAGTACATGACCAGACAAAGCAAACTAGAGAAAGCATTCTACAACATCATAACCCTAAATTCATCAAAACTGAGCACCCCATCACCATTAAGATCAAATCTAGCAATCATAGCTTCACACTCATCTATGCTCTTGCACTCCCCCAGTCTTCCAAGCATTCTCTTCAGACTCTTTGGTGTGATGCAACCACACCCCTCCATTTCATACATCTTAAAGGCCTCTCTTAGGTCTTTCACCTTCTCTTCTTCTTCCCCTTCCTCCACAAACCTCACAAAATCATCCAACCCCACTAGCCCGTCTTTGTCCGAGTCTAGAAGCTCCACCACGGCCTCCGCCTCTAGCCACGAGATCTCGCCGCCGATCACCTCCACGCATTGCCGCAACTCCGACGGTGATATCTTGCCATCTCCATTCTCGTCAAAGTGGTTAAAAACCCGCACATATTGAGTCAACTTGTCCATCATGTAACCCAAAGTAAGGTTTTAAAATTATGATAGCGATCCTTAATGAAAACAGCAAGAAAATGCAGATACAATTGTCGATTGCAGTGGCTCCAAAATCTTTGGAGTAACAGATGAAATCACAGTCGAGGACCGATTTGAAAACCTTGATCAAAAGCTATATAATACCAAGGTTTTAAATTGTAGTCAAAAACACAATTTTGACACACTACTTTGATATTTGCAAATGTGGCTGAAGTGATCACAATATAAAGCAAAGACAAAACCTTCTATATATAGTATGACTCTAGTTAACTGTACGAGTACATAGATGGGGAAGAAGTTCAAAGCATCAATGAATGCTATTGTTGAAGGGTTTGAACTGGGTGAGGGAAATATATATGATGTTGATGACAAGAGATTTACGCATGGTTCAAACTCTGTGACGTGAGTTGACCTGAGAACTTGTGTGACCCGTTAAGAGCGCAACACCGTCGTCTATGGACTTGTTATGCATGGAAACCGTCAAAATTTCTAGTGCTTCACACACGAGTTGACATTCAAACAAAGTGAGAACACTAACGACAAATGGAAAAGAAAGTTGACTGCATATTTAATTAGTAACAACCACTCAGATTCTTGGTGAGTAAAAAAAGATGAAATTACCCCACTGGGGTCGAAATTTCTAGAATTGAAAACGCAGACCACAGAGCACAGTTGACCGCATTTAAACGACAAAGTAGGGTTCACATTCTCAATGATTCCTTGGTTTTGGTCCTTCCACCACTCACATTTTTATGTGAATGTGATAAAATATAAAGACATGTGTTAGTGGTTGGTTTAGAAAGGAATATCCATGTATATATATATATGGTAGAAATTTATTCTTTATTATACCATCATTCCTCCTTTTTTGTTTACAAATTAATGATCTAATATACATCTTAATCATTAAATTAAAAAATAAATGATGAAAACCAAAAGTAAATTTCATATTTTTATTCTTGATGTAAGTGAATCCATCTCTCTCTATAAAAGGAGCTCAAATTATATGATATAATTTTTATTAAATTTATACTGTTAAATATATTTTATTAGATCATATTTTTTTCAAAATTTATTTATATTTTACATAATTATATATATGTACATAATTTTATATTAATAAAAAATCATTTAGTATCTCATTATATTTGTTAAAATCAATACAATATATAATTTTTAAAATATATTACCTTATTTAATTTTGATGTTGTTCCTACATATATATGCTGTTTGAATTTAAGGAGATTTTTTTGGACAGAATTTTAACGAGATTCTTTCTCCACAAATGTTGGATGGAAGACCTTCCTGTGCAGTTTCATCAACACATGTTGTCTGGAAGGGGAAAAAAGGGTTAAAGGGTTGACCAAAAAATATTAAATAACAACAAAATTTTTGAAAAACGCGTGAATGCTTGTTTTTTAAAAGTTGCTTCTTCAACTATATTATTTACCATTTAATAATCTGTTTGGTGGAAACTGTAGATTAAATTTAATGCTAAATTTATTTGTGTGATTCACTCATAATCCATTTCTAAAAATCTTTTGAGTAAGAGTGAGGTCTAAAGTTAAAGAGTATTTAGTTTATAAGGCTTAACAAATATCATACTCATTATAATAATTAAGTTTTCAGTTTGGTATTTTGAGGCATATTCACGAAACACAATGTTAAAGAGATAGGAGTCCAACTCATGTAAATGATTGATATCACTTTTATCCTAAAACCTTAAATCATTAGGTTATGGGTCATACTTCGTTACATATTACTCAACTTTCTCATTCTTATTCAATGTGAGACTTAGATATAACAATATCGCAATATATGGAAATGATGATAGTAGTATTTATGAAGCTTTTTTCTGGATTTTTGTTCTTATACGAATTTTAATACAATTTACAATGTAACAGAAGATGACATATGTAGAGAAAAAGAAAGACATAGAAAGAATCGAAGAATTTTGATAGAGTTAAGTAATGACAATTTCCCCCACTCTCCTCTAACGAATTTGATTCCCTTGCATAATTCTACGAACTTGAAGCACAACAGCAGGATAGATAATAGGGTGAGTGTCGGAATCGATAGTGATTGCTGGAACATATTGTTGAGTATGATCTCCCCTGCAAGGTTTTAGCTGAGAACAATAGAAAACTGGATGAATTTTTGTTGTTGGTGGCAAAAACAACTTATAAGCAACAGGGCCAATTCTTTCAATGACCGAAAACGGCCCAAATTACTTCATTCCTAACTTCTGATTCTTTTGAAGAGCCACTGAGTTCTGGTAGTAAGGTTGTAACTTGATCAACATCATATCACCAAGCTTAAAGTCCATGTCTTTTCGTTTTGGATCAGCATATTTCTTCATATGTTGCTGAGATCTTATTAAATTTTGTTATAGTTTGTTGATCATTGTTTGTCTCTTTCTAAGCTCTTCTTGGACTGTTAGAGGATCATGAGAATTAGCATTGTACTTAATCAATTGTGGAGGATCTCTGCCATAAACTACCTTAAATGGAGTTATAAAAATGTTGTGATGATAAGCAGTTTTGTACCAAAACTCAGCTCAAGGTAAGAATTTGACCCATTCCTTAGGAGACTCATAGGTATAACACCTTAAATACATCTCCAAGCATTTATTGAGAGCTTCTGACTGACCATCCGACTGAGGATGATAAGTTGTGCTCATGTGCAAGGTAGTTTCACTTAGTCAGAATTGACTTACAAACACCTTATCCCTATTTGAGACAATAGTCTTAGGGAATCCATGTAATTTTATGACCGTTTTCAAGAAGGCTTCAACTACCTGTTTGTTGTTGTAATCAGCTTTCAAGGTGCAGAAGTGAGCATACGTGGATAGTTGGTCAATCACTATCATGATCACGGTATAGCCTTGAGAATTTGGAAGACCAGTGATAAAATCCATAGTCACATCCTCCCAAATCTGATTTGGCACTGGTAAAGGTTATAGTAACCCCAAGGGAAGATAATTGACTAATTTTGCTTACTGACATATCAAACAATTTTGAACAAATTGTTTCACACCCTGATGCATTCCAACCCAATAGAATTGTTGAGCAAGTCTGTTGAAAGTTCTAGTGATTCCTGCATGACCATCTAGTGGAGAATTATGAAATTCTTTGAGCAATTTTTGAACTAAATCATGAGATGCAGGTATGACTAGTATGTCCTTCCAGTAAAGTAGCCATAATGGACTGCATAATGTTGAACTGAATGCCTGTTGGCTACACAATCATCAATGATCTTCCTCACCTCTTCATCTTTAGTTAGAGATCTTCTTAATTCTGGTATGAAGTCTCCTTGAGGTTATGGCCATGCCATCATAAAGGATCTAAATAAAGAATCAGCAACCACATTGTCTTTTCTAGGTTTATATTCAATCTTAAAGTCAGACCCTAGTAGTTTATGTATCCATTTATGTTGTTCCGGTGTTTGAATGGCCTGCTCAGTGAGGCTTCTCAAACTCCTTTGGTCCGTTCTAATCACAAACTTATGTCCCAAAGATGATGTCTAAACTTAGCCACAACTTCAGTAATGGTAAAAAACTCCATTGCATAAGCATATTGTTTTTGCATTCTCGGATTCAACTTCTTTGAGAAGTATGCAATGGGATGTTTGTTCTGAATAAGCACTGCTCCAATGGCTGACCCTGAAGCATCAGTCTCCATGACAAATGGAATGGAGAAATCAGGAAGCATCAGCATAGGGGCTTGAGTAACAACAACTTTTAAAGCTTCAAAAGCATGAGTTGCTTCTTCATCCCATTTGAAACAGTCTTTTAGAAGATTAGTTAAACGTCGAGTAATTGAGGCATAATGCCTAATAAATCTTCTATAATAACCTGTGAATCCCAAAAAACCTCTCAATTGTTTGAGGTTGTTTGGAACTTGCCATTGCATAACTGCCTTAATTTTGCCTTGATTCATGGCCACACCTTTTCCTAATACAGCATGACCCAAGTAATCCACCTCTTGTAAGCCAAAACTACACTTTGACAATTTGACATACAATTGATGGTATTGTAAAATCTGCAGGACTGTCTCTAGTTGCTTTAGATGTTCTCCCTATGTTGGACTATATACTAAGATATTATCAAAGAAAACTAAGACAAATTTCCTTAAGATACCTTGAAAAATGTCATTCATGAGGGATTTAAAGGTGGCAAGAGTATTGGTTAAACCAAATGGCATTACCAACCATTCATAATGCCCTTGATGAGTTCTAAAAGTTGTCTTGTGCCTATCCTCCTCTTTAACTAGTATTTGATGGTACCCAAACCTTAAATCTAGTTTAGAGAAGAATTGTGCCCCATACAACTCATCAAATAACTCATCCACAGTGGAAATAGGGAAGCTATCTTTGACTGTTATAGCATTCAAAGCTCTATAATCAGTGCAAAATCTCCAAATATCATCCTTCTTCCTAACCAGTATGATTGGTGAAGAAAAAGGGCTTGTGGATCGAGTGATAATTCCTGCCCGTAGCATTTCCATGATCATTTTCTCAATTTGCAACTTCTGGCTATGAGATACCTATAGGGGCGTACCTTCACAAGATTAGCACCTTCAACTAAAGGAATAGAATGGTTTTGTTGCCTATCTAGAGGTAGTCCTGTTGGAAGATAAAAAATTGTTCTGTATTGATGGAGCAACAACACAAGTTCAGGCTACATATTAGTTGGAAGATCAAGCCATTGATCGTGTGGAGTTGGAGGGATTTGAACCTGCAAAGAGAATAACTTAGCAATAGCATTTGTGCGACACATTCTCTTGAAGTGATTGAATTGAGCTGGCTGTGGCAGGGTGGAATGATCGCCAGGAAGAGTCACAATTTGATCACCAACATAGAATTTGATAGATAAGCTGCTATAATCAGAGACATGAGGTCCCAATGTTGCTAGCCAAGCGGCTCCTAACACCAAATCAGCTCCTGAAACCGATAGTAAGTATATAGGCAACTGCAACATGTAACCTTGAATCTTAACTTGTAAATCCTTGATGAGTACTTCAACTACCAAGGCATTACCATTTCCCACCAAAACTTTAAAGTTAGGGATAGGTTCCACTGGAAGTTTTAAACAGTGAACAATTCAGGGTTGAAGAAAATTACTTGAGCTTCCACTATCTAATAGGACCTGGACCATCATTCCATTAATAGACCCTTTAAATTTCATAGTGCCTAGTCCTGAAGAGCCATTTAATGCATTGTACGAAAGATGGTGTTCCAAGATTGGTGGGGTTTCAACCTCCACAAGGTCCTTAGGAGGGTCATGTTGAACATCAAGTATAACATCTTCATCAACTTGCAAGACAAAATACTACTTATTGGGACACCTATGAGACATGGTAAATTTATCATCACATGTAAAACAAAGCCCCTTCTCTCGACGCAATTGCATTTTTGCAGCAGTAAGCTTTTTAACAGGATTGGTTTTGGTGTTTGAAATGGTTGTGGAGGACTGAGGGAAAGATAACAAGGGTGGTAAACTGGTTGATCTTATGGATTGTGAGGTAATTGAGCTTGTGTTTGTGGCTTGTGCTTTCGGATAATAGGGAGTGTTATGTAGCTTGTTTTTGGGAATGTAATTCTCCTCATACAACTTGGCTAATGAGACACACCGTAGCAAAGAATAAGTAGGGTTTTAAGAAATAATATCACGTTTGAGATCTGGTTTTAAGCCTCCTACAAAGCAATCTAGGAGAGCCTTAGCAATGATGCCTTGGACACAGTTGGCTAGGGAAGTGAATTGAGTATAATAATCATGGACAAATGAAGTTTGGGTGAGTTTAAACAAGGTAGCCCTGGGACATTCATACGGGGAAGGACCAAATTCAATTTCTAATTCCCGAGTAAAAGCTACCCAAGTTGGAAAGGAATTGACATGATTTTGCATATGGAACCAAGGGATTACCTCTTTCTCCAAATGAATTGACGCTATGATCAAGCGTTGATCATCTGGTGTGCAGTAATAGTTGAAGAACTGCTCCGCCTTGAAGATCCATTGGAGGACTTTAGTACCGTCAAATCGAGGGAAATTGAGTTTCACATTACGCATTTGGAATGGTTGCGGCAGCTCCATTGATGGTGATGGCTTCGTTTGCAGCAAGGAACCCATCGTTGATTCTAAGGTTTGAAATCTGTTTTATGCGTCTTGTTCGTGTAATGTCAAATGATTCATCAACTTTTGTAACTCCCTCTCACGTCGTTCCATGGATTCAACGATTCGACTAACCTCTGTCGGAAGGTCCTTTAGACGAGCTATTTCAGTAGCTAATTCTTTCATTCTAGTGTTTTTAGCCATGGTTCAGAGGAATGAAATCACAAATGTAACAGTATCGCAATATAAGGAAATGGAAATGATGATAGTAGTATTTATGAAATTTTTCTGGATTTTTGTTCTTATACGAATTTTAATACAATTTATAATACAACAAAAGATGACATATGTAGAGAAAAAAGAAGGCACAGAAAGAATTAAAGAATTTTAACAGAGCGAAGTAATGACAATTTCCCCCACTCTCCTTTAATAAATTTCTATTTAATGCGCTCCTGCCTAATCATAATCTTTGAGCCTCATATTACACTACTAGACATTTTTAATTTTTATGGGATTTTTTTACCAAATTTTTGTAAAAATTTGCAGAAAATAAGTTTCTTGCGAATTTTCGTACAAATTTTTATTAGCACATAATTAGCTTGTGGATAATAAATTATCCAGGGATTTAATATTCACAAAAATTTCCTACAAAATTTGTTGTGAAAAAATTCGTGAGTAATTTTTTGCAAATTTAAATTTGCATATAATTTCTTGCAATTTAAATATGTATGTAATTCTTGCCATTTAAATCTACATGTAAATTTTTACCAATTTCAAATTCGCAAGTAATTTTAAATTTACAAATAATTTCTTGGTAATTTTATATTTGCAGGAAATTTCTCGCTAATTTTAAATTTGCGGGTAATTTTTTATGAGGTTATTTTTTTAAGAACATTTAAATTTTTTTGTATAAATTTAAAATTATATATATATATATATATGAAATTAACAAAAAACTATTTATTATATATTTTATTTTATTACACAATTAAATGATTATAAAAGAAAAATTGTTTGTTTATTCGACTAAAAAACTAAGCTAAAAACAAAATTAACGTGAAATGTTTTTTAAGAGAATTATTTAGTCTTACGTCATCATGATCCCTATGAATTATAAGACAATACATAAACAAAGTAAACTATTATTATATGAATGTAATTATCACAAATGCATGAAATGAAATTATCAATGTTTGAAAACATGAGATTGTCTTGAAACATGAGATTCATTTATACGGAGAACCTTGTTCTCTTGCATTGTTGAGTTCTTAGGTATTCAAAATAACTACGTTCTCCATTGTTGAGCAAACAATTTGGTCCGTATTAATTTGAGAAGGGCAGCATAGAGGAAAAGTTACAAAATAGAAATGATGCAACACCGATCTGGAAAAGTTCACCAAATTCCCTGCAAACAATGTTATTATTTAAAATTAATGTACTATTACTACTATTCATTTTAAGACTATACTTTATATTTCATTTATAGCAAACAATAACAAGAGTTCAAAATTAACTAAGAATCTAAATCTATAATTACTTACAAATATATTTTTACTTGCACAAATTTTGGTAGAATATCTCCAACCTTGTTAGACTTAAAAGATCTTCTCTGCATGATGATCTTTCTTAGGTAATCTGAATAACAAAAGACCAACAATTGCAATGCAAATTTTTGTCATTGTCAAAATCATATAAAATCTTTAATCCTAATTTTAATGAAAAAGTGTGAATGATTAAACTCAAATATTAAAGTGTCAAAACAATATAAATAATTCAAAACTTTAAAACCTTGTAAAAAAATGCATCGAAGCAAATCATTGTTGTTGTCAAAATCATATCATATCTTTAATTCCGTGCAATTTCATTATGACCTTCAATAATTCAGTTAAGTGTTATAATAACTCAAGAATAAAATTTTAAATATTACCATCTTCAATATGATCATTGTCTTCATCATCATCATTTTCATTGCTATGTTGAGATGATGAAGATGGTAAAGAAGAAGATGCAACAAACCCTAAGTGTTGCATTAAGGCTGCTACTTGATTCTTAGTTTTAGTCAACTCTTTTTTCTTTTTTTGCATATCTTTCTTTTGTCTTTGTAACTCTTGTCTCATTTCTTGTTTTTCTTGTTCTTGCATATGTAATGATTCATTTAAGGCTTGAATTTGACTCCTTAAAGCATCAACATTTTCAAAATTTGACTTCTTAGTTGAAGATATGATTAACATTTTGCCTAGATATCCAAGACCAAATATTCTTCCCTTATTTTTCCCAACTCGAATCAATCCATATATCCAAATCTGATGGCATTTGGCTCATGGATTGTTCACCATCAATTGCATCCTCCCCAAAACTATGAGCTAATAACTCATTTTTATTTTGTTCAAATTTCTCCTGCAAATGAAAAGGTACTTAGTGAAAATATATAAATAACAAAAGTGAGTGAAAAATGTTCAATTTTTTAAAATATTTTATCATTCTTTCAAAATAAAGAAATGAAATAGCAATTTTATATAACTTTGATTATCTCTAGCCATAAAGCTCGGTCCCTTCCAAATTCTTCAATCAATTAAAGAAATTTGACTACTTTCATATTTGACCCAAATTCAAAGCTAATTAATAGATAACTACTTTCATATTTAACTATGTGCTTATCACTAGCAATATGCTTATCAAATTGAAAACTTACAAAAACAATTTTGGCATGAGGACCAACCCAACTTTGATCCTTCTTTCTCCGATGTGTATGAAAATAAAACTCAGTCAATGATGGGTTTATTCCTTTTTCCTCTTTCTGATAACAAAGAAAGTTTAATGTTATTAATTCTAAAATGTAAATTATAAAAAACAAAGTAAAGTAATAATATCATTCTCTTCCAATGTAAGCAATGAGGTATTGATCCACCTGTATGAAGAGATGCACCATCCAAAGCTACCCGATTTCTTTTATTTGTTTCAGACTTCTTTTTAAAACTTGTAGATTCTCAATGTGTCTTTACTTGTCCCCACACATTCTCTCCCATCCAAATGGGTTTTTTCTCTAGATCTTTTCTAGCATCTTGCATTAATTTAGACATTTTAGATGCACCACTTCTCTCAAATTTACGTCGCACCATGTCATTATATTGAGGTCCCCAAGAAAATTTTGACTACATTATTTTTGAGAAAAATGAAAAAAATAATGATTATACTAGAGACATTTTCCAAAAATAAATAAAATCTTTTAATCAAAATTTAAAAATTAATTACTTTGAATATATCAAACCAAGATTCCCTTTGATCCATGGATTGAAAGTGATGAAGATCTTATTGAATTACTTTGGCAAAGATCTTGTTGATTTGATGAAGTCAAAAATGAAGTCAAAGGCTACTTTGTGGCAGTCAAAGGTCACTTAGATAAAAGGGTAGTGTGATTAGTGAGTCTGCATCTCTAGTTCGGTATAATCATTTTTATCTCTCTCGCTGCATGAGGTCTCTTCATTTAAAAGATTTTGCAAATGCCTCTAAAAAATGTTTAAACGGTTAAAAACAAAGTATTTTGTTAAAAGGTTTTTAATTAACTATTTTAACTAATAGTATATAAGCTTTATCAACTAAAATGTTCTTAACACTTTTGTAACAGGTTTTTAACTGATATATTTTCGAAATAATCGATTGTTTTCATTAGAAGGATTTTTGAAAACCTTCTGCCAGTATTTTAACTGATATAGAATTGATACAATCGATTAAAATGACATAGAATATTTTGAAAAGTGTTCTGGCAGAATTTTAATTGATACAAACTCGAAATAATCGATTGAAATAACTTGAAGTGTTTTGAAAGTTGTTTTGTCAGTATTTTAATCGATACAAATGCAAAATAATCGATTAAAACAACTAAGAGGTTTTTCCAAAATGTTTTAATCGATTAAAACAAGCTTGCTATCAGTTAAAATAACTTAGAAAGTTTTATAAAATCTTTTGGCAGAATTATAATCGATTAAAATGTGTTTCAATCGATTAAAAAAACTAAGTGAACTTTTTTCAAAGTGTTTTAATCGATTAAAACAGATTGTTATCAGTTAAAATCACTTAGAAAAGTTTATAAGAATGTTTTGCAATATTTTAATCGATTGAAAGACAAAACAATCGATTAAAACAATTTGGAAGATTTTTTACAAAGAGTTTTAATTGATATAAACGTTGTCGTATCAGTTAAAACAAATCTGGAAAATAATCAAGAACATTTTAACATATTAAAAGAAGTTTTAACAGATTAAAACAAGACTTTTAACAGATTAAAAGATTATTTTAACAGATTAAATAAACCAGCAGTTTGGAAAATCTTCTATAAAAACATAATTGCTTGAACCTTTTGAAACACATCTTTTGGCAATCAATCAAGCAATCATAAGTGCTACTTTCAAGAGAGAATCGCGCTAGTTTTGTGAAGTTCATAGAAGTTCTTTCTTGAGGAAATATTTGCATTCTTTTGGAGAAGAAACTCATTCTGCAGAGCTGCATAAACCTGGTTTGGGTATTCTAGTTTCTTCTCTTTGTTTCTTTACTTTCTTTACTGTATTGTGGGTGCCTGGAATTGTGGGCACTAGTTTCTGTGGCTGGAATTTGGCTGCAGGGTTGTTTAAGAACTGGAATTTGGTTCTTGGTGAAGGTTTAGGTGCAAGGACTGGAATTTTGGTTCTTGTGGTAGATTGAGTGTGGGATTGAAGTTGTAATTTGTAAAACGTTCAATCTAGTGGAACCCAACTGGAATTTGGCTAGCAACTGGACGTAACCCTGGGATTGGATGAACCAGTATAAATCTTGGTTGTATCTTTCTAAACCTTTCTCTCTTTAATTTTGTCACTGCCTTTACTTTGATTGTTTGCTGTGTTTGATTCAAGAACTGGTCAGAATTCTTAATCTTTGAAATAGATAATCTGTAAATTGCAAAAATCTTTCAAAGATCAACTCACCCCCCTCTTGATCTCAGCCTACATTTCTAACATGGATAACTTCTTCGATGATGGCTTTGCCTCTTCCAAGTTAGAGCGAATGATTGAAGCAATCGTCCCCACTACCAACTTGTGTTGATCAAACCTATATAATACAATAAAAATTATATTATATTAAGAAAGTTAAAATAATTCACTAAAAAAGTTACTTACTCATCGCCTTCTGGAAGTATTAAGATTTTCTTCCTATTATTATCTCCACTAACATGGATAGACGAAGAACATGGAGCTTCATTTGCCACTTGAAAATTATGCATTTGAAAGACCTGTTGAGTAGGGATGGGTTGATATTGGGAGGGCCTATGTGGATGTGGAGGTGGAGGAGGAGGTTGATATATAGGTGGATGTGGAGGCTGAGATGAAGGAGGAGGTGGAGGTTGAGATAGATGTGAAGGTGAAGGTCGAAATAGAGGTAGACAAGGTGGAGGGTGAGATAAAGGAGGAGATGGAGATGGAGGTTGAGATAGATGTGAAGGTGAAGGTCAAAATAAAGGTGGACAAGGTTGAGGATGAATTGAAGGAGGACGTGGAGGTTGAGATAGATGTGAAGGTGAAGGTAGAAATAAAGGTGGACAAGGGCGAGGTTGACATGAAGGAGGAGGTGGAGGTTGAGATAGATGTAAAGGTGAAGGTTGAGGTGAACAAGGTGGAGGTTGAGATGAAGGAGGAGGTGGAGGTGGAGGTTGAGATAGATGGGAAGGTGAAGGTGGAGGTCGAGATAAATTTGGAAATGGAGGTCGAAATGGTGATCGAAATGAAGGTAGAGTCCGAGTTATTTGCTTGGAATAAGCTTCAAGGTTGGTTGATGGTAGTATAAATGGTATATGAATTTGTGCATTTTTTTTTCCTCTCATCCTCTTAGTGGGTTGCATTGCTCTTTTAGAATCAAACATATAATTTTTAAGTATCATAATAAAAAATCAGAAAATATATTTTATGACACATAAAGAAAAGCATATCACATTTATAATCTCAAAAGGTAAATAATATTGTCAACAATACTAGAATGTAATAATAAGATAACATTATGTACTCTTAATGTTAATTTTCATCTTCCTCTTCATCCGTTAAATCTCCACTTTCATCATCATCATCATCATCATCATCATCATCTTCTTCTTCTTCTTCTTCTTCTACATATATTGCATGAAATCTTCATCTTCATTTTCAACGAATGTTATATCAAAATCAACCTCTTCACCAACAACCTCATCTTCTTGTAGGTGGTCAATTGGGTCATCCTCAATTATTGTATTAACTTGTGACTCATTCATTTGATATGCAACTTCTAAAGTATGTCTATCATCAACAACTCCCCTTGGTTTTGTTTTGATAATTATCATCCAATCAACCTTATCCTTTTGTCACCTAGGAAAAAATGAGTAGTAAACTTGAGTTGCAGCTTTTGGAAAAATAAAAGGATCAAATTTTTCGTATTTTCTTCTTTTTCTTACCTCTACAATCTTATATTGCTTATGTGTTCTCGTCCCATGGTTTGAAGGATCAAACCAATCACAATAAAATAAAACTAACTTTTTTTGTGATTGACTTGGTCATTCCAATTCTAATATCTTTACAAGAACACCATAATAATCACTTGATGTTTCACCTTGTCCAATTCCACTAACACATACTCCACTATTATATGTCGTTTTGCCTTTACCCCATGATGTTGTGTGAAATTTGTACCCATTAACAAAATAAATTGGCCACAACTTTGCTATCCTCAAAGGTCCCTTTGCCAAGTCATAGAAGTTTGAATTTTGTAACCTAAGTTGGTGATTCTGTTTTACCTATTCAAATAAAAGTTGTAATTAGATAACTTAATAAAATATGTTATCAAATTAATTTGTTTAATCAAAGCAAAGCTTACATATTCTTCAAACCATCGTGGAAAATTAGCTTCTATTTGTTTATCAATGATATCATCATTGAGATTCTCATAGGTATCTTTCAAAGTTTGTACATATAAACTACAAAAAATGAAAATCTAGAATGTCATCAAGGGCTTTAAGACCTCTTGAATTGAGCAAGTGTTTGTAGTTGTATTCAGTGTGGACAAAGGTAATGTGAAAGCCTCTAAGATGAAGCAACTTTGCTAGTCGGAAAAAAGAGCTTATATGACCTTGAACTGGAAATGGGGTCAACACTGTGTGTGGCTTTCTGACCTGCATTTTTTGTTGTGGTGTGAAGAGAGTGAGGTGAAGGATGAGTAGTGGAAAGGACCAATGTTTAAAGATGTTCTAACAACCGTGTAAAATATTATGAAGGTTATGTTTTGTTGTCACGATATCCTCAAGCCAGTAAGAAGACACAAAGCCAAACTCTACACAAATTATGTAGAGTTTCGTTAACAGACCAGAATAACAAACATGCTAAAAAAAATATTCATAGAACGTGCATATGCAGGAGATATTGATTACATTACTTCAACGTACTATTCTAAAGCACACCAGAATAACATCCTCATTAACATAGATAGAGATATACGTAAATTTCCTGCAGAATATTACATCCTCTGCTATATGCAAAGAAGATCAATGAAAAAGACTCATATATGAGTGTTCAAAAAGCTTATATAACTGAACTCAACTTTCTTTTTATTTTCTCTGTTAATTCTTGAACCATGCATATGTTTCTTTCTTCTGGTTTAAGCTTCATGTTTCATGTTTTTCTGAGTATTTCACTAATGTTACTTTATAAGGGTTCAGTTAGTGACCCTAAGTTAAAGCTGGATCAAAATGTCAAGAGTCAAGGGTTCACAAAATCTATCACATAACAGAACAAAAACAAAACCAGTGTTTGGTTCACGTATGTAGCTAGAATATAAAAAAATCATGTGTTAGTGTGTTGACATGTGTGTTTTGAATTTTGTGAATGAGTTAGTCCTCAAGAAAGACATAATCACCGTGTGTTGATTTGAAAAAATCTATTGAAACATCATGGTACTACTACTGCAACCACAATAACATATGAACTATGGTTAGTTATCTTAATCAGGTCTTTTAAACCAAACTAAACAAAATGGAAGGCACTAGTGTTGATCTTGATTAAACTAATGAAGATTGAAGTAAAATTGTAGGGATTATTATTTGTGTTGTAAAGTGTAAAAATTATATGAAAGAGGTAGACACAACTTACCTTATGAGTCTTAAAAAGGTTGATGTAGAAGGCAGAGAAAGCAAGTCAGGGATGAGAAGCAGTAAGCAGCGCAACCTAAAATCAAAACAACAATTCAACAAACAGTTCAATCACCACCTACATTATTTTCAAAACATTAGAAACATCATATGAAATGAAAACCCTAGGTTGCAGTGTTAATCAAATTACGTTAAATGGAGGCTCTGAAAATTCCTTCCCCTAATCTTCAACAGACCCCTATCTGCAACAGAAATCAAACCCAATTTCATTTCCACGAATCCTAACATTCAAATTAGTAATAAAAAGTAAAACAATAACTAGAATAAGTTATAGAATACACTGGATAGTTGAATAAGTTATGTGAAATAGAACTAAAATACCAAAGACTCCGCTGGTTAAGGTTATACCTATTTATGTGATATTCTTCGTCTTACACTGCGATTCAAGTCACCACGTCAACAATGCGGAGGAAGGAAGAAGAAACAGTAGTGGTTAAAAAGAGAAGAATGGTAATATGGTCGAAGAAGAAAAAATGAAGAAGAAAGCTGGATACTTAATGGAGGCGAGAGAGGGAGAAACGTTGACGAGAAGAGACGTCGAACAAATCCGAGTTTTTTTTTAATTATTTTTAAAGTAACCAATTATAAAATATTTTATTATTTTTCTATAAAAATAATTAAAATCTTTTTAAAAAAGTATTATTTTTAAATTTTGCTGCCATTTTTTTAAATATTATTAAATCTTTTTTACAAATTTTATTTATAAAAAAATATAGAAAATAATTTTCATTCCCGCCAAATTTTATACGAATGTATATTTGAAAAATAAAATAAAATTATAATTATATAATTGAAGAAAATTTTGCAAGAATTTCTTACTATTAATTTTTTTGCAAAAAAAATCTAACATATTTTTGTAGAAAAAATATTTTGCAAATAAATTTGTAATAATTTTTTGTGAAATATTTTTCTTAGAAAAAGTTGTAACTATTTTTTACTAAAATATTTTTGCAGAAAAAATCACATGAATTTGATGATTTTTTACTAGTGTTATTTCTCCTCACACGCCTATCTCTAGGTGCTTCTTCCACCCGTACGTTTTCTTATCTCGCTTTTAAGATCTTTTCCCTCCCTTTCATGAACTTCACTCGTTACATTATACTCACACTTGAATTACCTAACAACTGATTGATAAAAAATATTTACCATCTGAAGAGAGATATATATGATAGGAAAGAAACATATATGAGAAATTGTTAGTTTAAGCGTTAACGGTTGATTTTATATGATGTAAAAATAATAAATGGGGTAATATATTAGTGAGTAAAACTTATAAATCTAATGTTTCTTCGATCAAATTAACTTTTGCATTACATGATCAATTGCTAAAGTTCATGATTTTTTCTCACCAAAATATATATATATATATATATATATATATATATATATATATATATATATTATAATAAATGTATATTAAGTTTATTAACTACAAATTTTATATTACTCTAATTTTTAATATGCCTTTTATTATTTTACAAATATACATATATTATTAGGCATAGATTTATAAAAGAATTATATATTCTAATTTAGGTTAAAATGGAATTTGGTATTTTATTGGATAGACTGTTTTTTTGTTTTTTCACTAACGGCGTTAATTACTTTAACTTCTTAACCTCCCTTATATAACTTGTGATATGTCACCTAGATGACCAAATTAATGATGGAAGGAATAATTTTATTAGTCCTTGGAACAAACATGATATCTTCCTCCCTTGGGAACCATGCTTACTTTGTCGACGGCGGAGCGGGATGGGAGAATATGCTGAAGACAATATGACATTGAAATCAAGGTTATGGAGAAACCGGTGAATATGAGTATTAGAATTAGGTTATAGACCTATATATTTTTAGGCCTTTATATGAGATTTTTTAGTGATTTTTTTAGCGAGTAAATTGGGAAGATATGAGGAGGTGATATAATAAGACTTTGATGAAAAGTCTTCTAGAATTGATAAGTGTGATGAAATCTTGCATCAATTAAAAATATGATAATATCATATTTTATTAAGTCGGTTTTATAAAAACAAATCCAGTAATGTTAGAACAGGAAAAATCTCTTTCTCGAGATAAGAGAGTGACACGATAAATAATATATATATATATATATATATATATATATATATATATATATATATATATATATATAAACCTAACCTTATTAACTTGGAGTTTGTTTTAAACTATGTAAGAATTTTTTAAGACGACATACTTAGTTGGAAGTATGCGAACGAAAGTCCGGAACAACTTCATTTGCACTTCTTCTTCGAGATCACTATGCAAGAAAGTGTTGCGAACATTCATTTTTTGAAAATCTCAAATTTTTATTCTAACAACTGCTAGGAAATTTGAAACTCTCTAAGAGTTGAGAATCGTACAAGGATGTCCAATGAGAATGGGAGATGGACAACAAGTGATAGTAAGTAAAGAATGATGTGTATTCCTTGAAGGAAGATAAAACTTAATAATATATTATATGTACCTAGAATACAATGCACTCTAATATTTGTGTCTCAATTGTTGAATGAAGAAAATTATATGGTTCAATTTACTAAATTTGCACATGATCTCACTTCGAAAAAATTGATTGAAATAGGTGAACAAAATGACAAGCTTTATAATTTCAAAGGGTTTTACCATGAGAAAGCGTTCAAACTTGATAAAGATCTCTGAGTGACATTCGACACAAGCATATGGGATATCCCTCTTTGAAAATTACGCAACTAGTCTTAAATGTGACAATAAAGTTTGTAATATATGTCAAATGACAAAACATATTAGAGATCATTTTCCTTTGAGTAATAATAAAGCTAGTAACAATTTTGAATTAATCTACTGTGATTTGTGGGGATCTTATTAAACTCTGTCATTTTGGGTGCATTTTATTTTTAGCTATAGTTGATGAATATTCACGTGTTGTTTGAATTTATTTTTTACTTGATAAAATGGGAGTTTCTAGAGTCATATTAAATTGTGTTGTTTTGATAGAAAAATAGTATGAAAATTAAGATAATTTAAAGTGACAGTGGAATTGAGTTTATAAGTATGTCAACATAGTTTCTTGAGCTTGATATTATTTTTCAAATATCTTATAGTGGGACACCTTAACAAAATGGTTGAATTGAAAGAAAACACAGACACATCCTTGATATAGTGCATGACTTAAAATTTTAAGGTAATAATTTTATCTCTTTTTGGGGTGAATGTATCTTAACATATGGATATTTACTAAGTGTTATAATATTTTGACAACTCACTTTTTCCAAATATCCATTCAACAATTTACTTTTATATTTTTATATTATTATTTATCTATCTTATTTTTCTCTATCAATCAACCAAAAATAAATATTTTAAAGTTGTTTATGAGATGTTTGAAAGAATTGAGTGTAAAAAAAATTCCATTTACTAAATAGAACACTAACACCTTTGTTAGATGAAAAAACTCCTTATGAAATGTTATATGGGCAACCACCTTCAAATAATCATTTAAGGGTGTTTAATTCTTTATGTTATACTCATAATCAAGATAGAAAAGAAGATAAGATTCTTATTTGCGATAAGAAATATGGTTTGTGAGTGATTCCCATGGGAATAAAGGATGAGTAAGAAATGTGGTTTGTGAGTTATTCCCAAGGGAATAAAGGATGTGTGTTGTATGATCTGAAGACCGAAAGTTATTTTGTGTTTAAAAATATCATTTTTTTTTTCTAAAATGAATTTCCTTTTCTATAACCAACTAGTAATGATTATGTTCCTACTTCAATGCTTTTGATATTGATATTAAAGATGGATAGAAATGAAGAAAAATTAGAAAATAAACTTGCTCCCAAAAATAAATAAAAAAACAATGAACATCATAAAGGGAAGAAATGTCTTAAAATTTCATCTAGGAAACTTTGAGAAAGACTAATATAGTTAAAATAAAAAAATTCATCCAATTGTTAAGAATAAGCTTCCATGTGTAAAAGATGCTTCTATCAATAAATCATATGTTTAGTATCAATAAACCATATGTTTAGTAGGATCAATGGCAGATCTTGACCATTGATCTTGGGGGCCAAATAATATATTATTAATAAATAATAAATAAATATAAAAGGAAGAAAGAATATGAAAGGATGAAAAGATAAAATTGTAGATATATACTTAAATATATTAAATGATCATTAAGTTTGAGGGAAACAAAATCATAAATTATATGAGAGTTACAAAACTGAGGAGGGGTTAAGAGAATAAAATTATAAATATACAAGTAAAGATATTAAATGTTCATTATGTTTGGAGGGGGCCAAAATCATAAATTGAATGGGAGATACAAAACTTTAGGGGGGTCACCGACCCCCTCAGCTCCCAAGAAGATCCGCCACTCTAGGATTATCGATTTGGATAATAATGTTAATTAATTTTTATTGAATCAATTCACAAGACAATTGAGATGCTAGTGTAAATGTTCCTTTTTCCCCTGTGGACTCAAGAAGTTGGAGTGTTCTAACAATATACTCAAATGCATGAACAATTGACTTGTGAATATGATTAATCAACTCCATGCAGAAATAAACAATTTCAAAAATTATTTTAAAACACAAAAATGATTTACTTTTACTATAATTCTTCTTGTAGATGCACTAGTCAAAATGTCTCGTCTGATTGTGAAAATTGTAAAATGTTATAATAAAATTTAAATATCTTGTTAAATTACTTGCAAAATTCACTCAAATCAGAGTTAATATTGATATTATTTTTATAAAAAAGTTGAAGATAAATTTAGACAATGTAGAAAACAAAAATGTTTTAGAAAAAATTTCAATTACATAAAATCGTGATAACTTGTTTTTAGTGCTGTACTCCATTGTCCTTTGTTATGTCTTGTTTATATTTATGAAATCTCTCCCTTAATATTTAGAATGACCTTTATTTGTAAGTGTTTTTTTTATTTTTTATTTTCTTAGAAAATAGGGTAGCGGATACATAAAATGGATGAGAGTTTGACCATGATAGAGAATGGAAGAAAATTCTTTTCCTTTTTATCAAATATTTTTTTTTGTAAATTAATATTTTTTGAATTTTTATTTATTGTATTGGACTTTTTTATATAAACAAATTGGACATATTTTTAATTTTTTATGATATTTAAAGAAATTGGATAAAATTAGTTGTTCAAAAATAAAAATAATTCCAAAATATCTATTATAAATGTTTAAGTTGTGTATTGGGTCGTGAAACTAGCTAGTTTTTTCAGTTAACTTAAACTTTTTTTCGAAAATAGTATCTAAATACACCAAAAAAATATTTAAAAATTTTAAACTTGGACGAAATTCTTTAGATATTTTTAATATTTATTTTCAATTCAAATTGGGATTTCACATAATCTATCAATATTTAATGCAAACTTTTATTATGTAAATTAAAGTAAAATACTAATTTTAATTACAAAAGCACCTAATGAACTCCAAGATTGATACACATTATACATACAAGCTCACTGTGAAAGGGTGAAAAATCTTTCTGCAACAAGGTTTAGTCACTGTTAATCCACACATCCCTGAGGAGTTCATATCTGATAGGAGATTGGTTGCGAATTTCTTTCAACTTGAAGCTGGATTTGGTGGAAATTTTTGGGGATGAAGAAACACTGAAGAATATTGAAGATAATGGGAACTTCAGTTCATCCAGCTCATCATCACTGGTGTGTGACTTCCTTACAATAGATGAACTGTTTCTTCTTAGATGAGATTTGCTTCCCATCTCCCCAACAATGCTTGCAATGGAAGTAGCCAATGGAGGTGAATAGGCAACGGTAGCTGCAATGCATGGAAAGTTGTTGACACACTCGTTTCCATCTTCCATGTCATTCTGTGCCAAATTGGAAACAAAACTTTGAAGAATTCACATTGCACATCAATCAGCTAAACACATGTAACACTGATGTATGAACGTTTTAAAAGTAATGAAAAATCAATATAAGAATGAGTTTAACATCTCCATGAAAAGTAGAGGCGGCAAAATAGGCCTGGGTATCCCGTTTTAGTATGTCCCACCTCTGGTTTGTCAAAAGTGGGACAGGACGGACTAGTCCACGGATTATAGACCCTGACAGGCTAATAGACTAATATGTCAATTTGAGGCCGGCTAACAGCTAGTTCATCGGACTTAACCTTTTTTATCATCACTAAGAAAAGTTATATTTACAAACATTTAGAAGAGAGGGAAGTATTAATTATAATTATATTATTGTATTCATATCTAACCTCTGAGTCCAGAGCCTCAAAGACATTAGAGGGAACAGGGTCGGGGCAAAGCTCATCTGGGACAAACTTGTGTAGAATCTTCTTGATAAGTGTTGCATTGAACATAGGGCATACCTTAGGAAACAAGAATCTTTTAGCGAAAGTAGTGAAACATAACAGCATGGCAGCAATTAGCTACATGAAGAAAAGTTCAATTTCATTGCCAAACAAACCTCATTCCTGATGGATGCACTCAACAGCATATCCTTAGGGAGCATCAGGAGGTCACTTAGAGCATTGAGAAGACTGAAGGACTTTAAGGATGCATTTTGTCTTTCTTCCTTGTTATCAGTTTCAGCTTTATCTTCAATTGAGTCATCATCATCCATGCCAAATAGATCAGTCAACCACCTTGACCAGGTCCCAATCTGACAATGAGAAATTGGTGACATAAATGTAAAGAATGTACCAATAAAGACGGAAATAATCTCTAGTGACATTGCATTCAAAATGTACAGTCATCCTCTAATTCAACAGCTGTTCAGGTCATTCCACACCAAAAGGCCAAATTCATGGCCTAATTTAAGAGTTGCATTTATGTCATATGCGTTTATAAGAGAAGAAAAGTAACTTCTTTTGAAGAAATTAAGGGTATGTTTGGCCAAGCCTCTTTATAAGCATTTTTAGAGAGAAGAAAATGAAATAAACTAATAAGAAAAAGTTTGTCCAAACAAACCCTGAATAAGGGAATTTCTATAAAACTCAAATATATAAATTGATCTTCACATGTAAAATAAGCTCAATATATTTTCTTATGCTTTTATTATGTAAGTGTTAATAGAGAAATTTATTAAACAAGGTCAGACCAAAGAGATAGATACCAACTAAAAGAAAGGTAAAAGTTGAACTTACAATTATAATTGTGGGTTTGAATAGATTCATGGATGGTCGTCAAATATGAAAATTCACAAATGTATACATAGATACATTTACAGAAACACAGACTTTCATGCAAAAATACAAACAGACACACATTGAGAAGTTACCACAGTTTTTAGCTGTGCACCGGCTCCAAAGCTTGTTTTCCCAGGTGGAATAGGGAGAACCTTAGGATCACTAATAGCATCAGATACAGGATCAGTTGGAATTTCATCAGCAGATTCGCGAAGAATAGCATTGAACATAGCCACATCTAATCTCGCAACACATTGCTCCATTATCTACATTTAAGTAGAAGAAATGCAATCTGATGTCTTTCATGATTATTTTTTAAGCACTGAAGAAGCACTTTCATTGACCAAAGCAATGAACTTAAGACAGCAATATGAATTAAAACCTTATGCAGAGATATCAATCAACTTGGAGGAAGAAAAACACAATTGCAAATGTTTTACATTCAGGTTTAGAAATATGCAGAAATTAGACTTTTCTCAAATTTCAACCCTTCTTGGATATATTCCAGACAAAATATAAAAATGAAAACACCATTCTAATTAGTTACTGTGATTACCCGAGATCAGACATAACAAATGTGAGACTTCATTTCAAAAACATGTCTACCAACACAGATAGGCTAGCAGAATAGGTGATTTGTCAAGATACACAATAGGGTGTGATACCATGTTACACTTCATCTTAAAACTAATTGGCATTAAGAGAAGATGTCCAACAAATATATAAATAGTACTCTAAGAATTGAGGCAGTGACACAAGACTTCTCAGTAACAAACAAGCCTTATAATCGCCACTGTTTCTAATACAAATATTACACATCATAGTTAAATTTCCGAGCAGGAATGGATGATAGTAATGTCCAAAGAAATTATAAATGACATTTTCATCCATTAGGAGCAATGACAGACCAAAAATAAAAACCTTACAGTTACAAACAAGTCTTTTATCCTCGACATATTTTGTACCTTGGGTTTAAACATGTTTTTCACTCATTGTTTATCCTGCTCTTGTTTTTAGAATGTCATACAATCACAAATTCCAAAGCCTAAACCACATAAGATGTAAACAAAGTGCAAAAATAATACTTATGTTTTCAGACAAAGAAGGTTCTGAAGCTATTAAATTAGACTGACCAATCTAGAAAGCATAGGCAAACAGCCACACTGATGTCCTCCAGCTCGAATAGGACAGATCCTTTCACAGGCTTCCCTAAAAGCATTTTTCCAAATATATAGTGACAAGTTACCCTGCTCTTGGTCACATGAGCTAGAAGTCCTTCTGTAGTTTTTTCTTGAGGCTGAAACCACTTCTTTGTTGGTCAACTTTGTGTGTTGCATATGTGGAATCAAAGTCTGGACATAGGCAAAGAACGATTCATGTTAGATTACAATGGAATTTTGTGATAATTAGTCATCGGAAAATAGATATCAGTTGCAGGATTGTTTAAGGGGAGGAGGATAAGAGTAAGGCATAACCTGCCACCAGATAGATTCTATAATGCGAGAAAAGATCCATGCTTCCACTTTTTCCAGTGCTAATATGAGTACCTGCGGATCATCCCAATTACCAAAACCTTCATATTCTAATGCTGTGTTTTCATTTTTTCTGGGGTATAATCCCTTCACCCTTAGTGAGCTTGTTATCTTGCCATTTCCCTCCTCCTCAGTTTTCCTTCTCCTACCAGATCCAGCAGAATTTGATGAATCTTTGATGGTTCGGCTTATAATTGTCCTCAACACTATAGTGTTGGACAGCCAAAAGGTCAACCTGTAGTCATGAAAGAAGAGGTCAACCAGCTGGCGCAGTTCATGATTAAACTACAGTTTTCATCACAGGCAGCATAATTCATCAGCATCACTTGAACAAACTCTAAACATTAATCTAACCCATATAAGTTCAGAGTTTTGTGCAGGATTTCTACTTCATCATTATTTTAAAATAAAAGTTAGATGCAGTCCATTCTCAATTTAGGAGACATTTGGTTGCAATGTCACATTTGGTTGCAATGTCACATTTGGTTTCATGAATTAAATTAATCAATTCTTCTTTTTACAAAACATATTACTAACATTTCATGATGGTGAAGCTTGTGATTCTTAGTGCTGATGAATATCTTACACAACATTTCATTTCAGTGATAGAATATTTTGGAAAAGCCTTAGAATAAAATGCAATAAGATTATGGCTCAAATGTACCTTGGGACATCATTTCCACATGCCTTTGTAACAAGTACTAATCCTGAAACAGAACTTTTAGCTGCCCCAGCCCTTCTTCCTTGAATATTTTCTTTACAAGCATGAAGATAGAGCCTGGAAAGGCGCCGCGCTGGGGCATGAACTTTACTGGTGGAGTTTCCATGCTCAGCAACTACTGAATATAAAGCAGACTCAATTGCAGCAGCTTCTCTCAACTCTCCTTCAAGCATCTTTATCTTCTTCTCCAACTGCTCAACTTTTCCTTCTAAAGTACCATTTCTTGCTTCCTTTATATGAATCTTAACATCTCTTCTGTCATTGCTTCTGTTCCCTCCATTGTTTTGTGCATCTCTAATAATGCCATTTTCATTTAATTCAGCATGATGATTGCTAACAAGCGATCCAGTATTCCGGGTTGAGTCTGCTGGTAACCTCACAGACTTCAAGTTCTTTAGTCTTTCATTTTTGAAATTCTTTTCCTGCACACCAATATTTGACCCTCCAAAAGAATGTGTGTTGCTATCCATTAAGGTTTCATCTTTGGCATCTTGTGCTTCTAATTTTTCATCTTCTATGCAGTTTTGTCTGTCCAAATTATGTTTTTCATTTCCACTTAAGTCCTCAACAGAACCATGGCGAGTTTTGTCACCTCCACTCTCCTTCATAAAATATTTGTCAGCTTCTATACATATCCGATTCGATTTGCAATCATAAGATGATGTGTGTTTTGAATAAATGCCAAATGTACTTCCGTAGGTATTTCTATGGACATCTGCAACTATATTCCTGTAGTTAGCAAGCTTTTCTTGAAAACTCTGATCCAAAGTTTCATGGCCACTGCTTCTTGTGTTGCTCCCAGGATTTATGTCTAAATTGTCAAAAGCTAAAGATGGTGAAGAAGAACTGGCACTAGGTGAAGTGGAAAACTTTTGAATTGACAATGAATTGCGAATAGGAGAGTTAGAAGCATGACCATTTACTATATTCCTCGTAACAGAAGATACATCCAATGATGACATATAAGAACTCCTCTCAAGCTTGTTGTGTGTGTCTTGTTGCACCATATTAATTTTTTCAAGCCTTGCTTCCGAGGCCAAGGGATGTTCCATGGCATTCACACCAGTGCTGCTAATTGGTTCATACTGCAATTCAATTGCAATTACATATTGCATCGTGAGGAATTTCTTAATATATTCATATACGGCAAACAAGAAAACCACCCCAGTAATTTATCACACTATTAATGAAAAACTATGATTGTTACTACTTTTTATACATTATAGTGTCATTTATAATTTGATTTCACTAGGTCCATGCACCCTGCTGATGGCAAGTTATAAACATTGTTCAACAAGCACAAAGCATATAAAAGTTGCAATGATGCATTCCATATGTCTCAGCTAGCCCATTTATTTGACCTAAAAGCATGCAATAACAGCATAGAAAATATCAAAATTCTGGTTCTTGAAGTAGGAATGACAAGAATTTAAGGAACTCCCCTTTCTGAATGGTTATATTTTATAGGACCATGCTTCATGTATTTTAATCTTAAGCTTCTAGGTGAATACACATTAATGGTTTTATGTTACATTTCTAACACTATTAGAAGAAATCATAAACAATTACCTTTCCTAATGTTAGTGGGGTAAACCCACTGGATTCATGGGAAGTAGAAGCTGCAGCTGCAGATGAATGTGAGGAGACATCATCATCAGTAAAAGATGCAATCTCAGCTTCCTCAGCATATTCGTCATTCATGAGTGTTGACACTGAGTCACCAACATTATTGTCCTTCATTGAGGCACTAGCACGAGTCCTCTCAACAGGCTGAATTTTAAGGAACAGAAATGGCTGTTCTGTGTTCCTGTAACTCCTTTTGCAGTTCATTGGAACACTAGTGCTCAAGGACTCTTGAAGTGTCCCATATTCTGCCAAGTCTATGATTGCAGTCCCCAACAACTGACCCTTAACAGTCCTATCTTTTCGTGGCTCATACAATTTGAACTCCAAGCAATTCTTTTGGAACACATCAGTATCACCGCTTCTTACAGACATATCCCTCAACAAAGTTACATGTAGCCTAAATGACTCATTAAATTCGATTCTTCCTTCACCTATAACTGAACCAAGTGAAGGGGAAACAACAGTGGTAGAACCTGATGCACATTCACCATTCTTCCATTCTATCAACACGGATCGCAGGGATCTTAGTGATTGTGACGGGGGCCAGGGCTTAATCTCCTGAACGTGAATGAGGAAATCAATTTGAACCGTGACACCTCTCCTGTTCTTCGCTCTCATGCCTAGAACCATAGCTGCTAAGGTGATGGATTTGACTTTGTTGAATGTGTACAACAATCACCAGCCCTCTGAAGCAAATGCAACTTGAGAACTCAAAATGATTTCACAAACTAATTGCACATAACTTCAATGAAACGAGAACAGCCAGTGAAGTGTGAATTTAATTAATAAATACATGCAGAGAAGTTCTTAACTCTTGAATTAGAAGGATCATAGTTACCAAGTGATTAAGATAACCCAAAAAAATAAAAAAGTTTGTACAAATGGGAAGACCTAAACCAAGAAGAAAACTAATAATGTGGCCATTGAATCCAGTTAAAAGTTAAATACACAACATGACAGCATAAAAGTCATTAAATTTTTCGCAGATAAAATTATAAAAATACATTGAAGAATAGCCAGCGGCAATCTAAATGGGGGGGGATCAATTTGAACTGCGACACGTCTCCTGCTCTTTCCTCTCCGGCCTAGAATCATAAGGTGACAGATCCTCACCAGAAGAACATTTTACTTCAACTTGGTTGAATGTGCAGAATCACAATCCTTCTCAAGCAAATCCAGCTTGAGAACTCAAAATAAATTCACAAACTAATTCGACATAACTTTAATGCAACACAGAACAACCTGTCAAGTGTCCACTTCAACAAATTTACATAGTGCTGAAGAGAACCACCCAAAAAACCAAAAAGAGTGTACAAATGGGAAGGAGCTAAAACCAAGAACAAAATTAATAATGTGGACCACTGAATCCAGTTACCAGTTAAATAGACAACATAAAAGTCATTAAATAAGAGCCAGTGGTGTAATGTGGATCTTAATTACCTGGGAAAACAGTAGCTGGTAGAGGTAGTGGAAGGATCAGAAAGGTGCAAGAAATGGCTATAACTGAACTGGGGTCACCATATTTCTGAGAGCATAAGATATATGGGTATAGTTTTTTTTTTTTTTAATGTTTCTATTTTGTTCTGACACTATTGTTTCTGGTTCTCTTTAAGTTGCAGCTTGTGAAGCACACTAACTTCCCTCACTGGAATATGCATATAATATAGCAGCATCCAAGCAAAGGATAGAATTTCCATGTTAAAGTGGTTAAAAAAAATGAAAAAGGTTGGCATGCTTAGTTACCATTACCAAGAATATGTAATTCATTTGGTAAGGCTCTTCAAAGGGATTGTTTGGTGTAAACTACTGAAATCACCATGCTCCCTGATGGCGATGCCTCACCAAAATCAAGCACCTTTCACATCAAACGTTTCAGTTAATGGTGTGCTGCACCAGAATGTTTATATATTTATGTGTAATGTATTGTGTATGGAAACATATATTGGAACTAGAAAATTCCTCTTCTGAGTAATGTATTACCACAGTTTTCTAACATGTTCTTCCTACCACACACCATTGTTGATTAAAATTTATACACTATCAAATTTTTTTCAGAAAAAAAAAAGTTTAAAAAGAAGTAAGATTCAAGATAATTTGTAATTTTCAATAAATTTCAGTTAATAATGAAAATGAATTTACAAGGACATATTGATAACATTTCCCTTTTGAAAAAAAGTATATAAGAAGCAAAACTCAAAATAATTTATGATTTTTAATAAATTTTAGTCAATAATAAAAAAATATATAAAAATGTATTGATAACATTCTCCTTTAAACTAAGTTGCATGTGTGCATGTAATTAAAAAAAAGTGTGTTTAACAAGAAGCAAGACTTGAAATAAATTGGGATCTCTAATAAATTTTAATAAAAAAATAAAAAATTCAAATATTTTGAATAAATTGTACCCGCAACTATAAAATTAAAAATGAAATGCATTACAAAAGATTCCAGATTCAAGATAATTTATAATTTTTAATGAGAAATAAAATATATATTAAAAAAATACATTTTGAATAAATTGTATTATATATCCTCTTATAATATTTAAACAGAAAATCAGAATAATTTAAAAAAAAAATTATTGTATGGCATATGAATGGAACCACTACTTTCCAATACTATATACATATTTGTTTTACAAAATAATATCGTTGTTAAAAGGGCTTAATAATTTATTATAATTTAATTACATGTTAAGAACGTATTGGATTATTTATAAGAGTCTATAAGATTAAAAAAAAATCATTTTATTTTATAGTTTTACAAATTTCACTTTATTATATTTTATAATTAAAAATTTTAATTTTAAAAAAATTAAAATTTGTATTTGTAGTTGGCATGTAAATATTGAAGAATTAGATACTGATTTTTGTGATGTTATATAAAGTAAATAAATGCTGTTGGTTACTCTACCAACTCAAAAGCATACAAAGGCGCGTGAAGAATACGCCAGACCAACACGCTAACCCATGCTTCGTGTCTACGTAACGTTCCAAGAGCGCTAAATAAACCCATAGTTTTTAACGCTCTAGGAAACTCGATTGTACTTACTCATAATAATAATAATAATAATAATTATTATTATTATTATTATTATTTTATAAATTTACGGTTATTCAAGTTCTTTTTTTTCTTACATTGTATTAATTTTTTAATATTTATTAAGTATTAACTATGTATATTGACATATTACACTAATAATTGAAAATGAAATATCATTACTTTATTAACAATTTTTTTAAATGACCTACTTATTTTAACCTTTTATCCTTTTAGTATTAGATGCGAACTTTTAATTACTTATATTTAAGTTTGGTAAAGTATATGAAATATTTTAAGTTTGATAAAGTATATGAAATAAAAAATTATGATGATAAAATCAAGAATATCGAAATGAATTAAGTTTGATGGGTCTGTATCTCAAATTTGATGGGTGAACATATTCAATTTTAAAAAGAATTAAAAGTAAAAATGTTATTTTTTATATTATTGAAATATCTAAATATATTATAATATTATATTTAAATTATAAATATTAATCAATTAATCTTAAATTATTAATCATAACACATAAATATTGTAATTTTTATTAACTTATCTAATAAAAATATTAATTAATAATTAATTTAAATTATTTATATAATTAAAGGTGTATTTTTAAAAAAATTATATAAAAAATTTTATATATACAAAAATTTCACTGGACCGGCTAGCCTATCAACAACCTTTTGGTGGGGCAGGCTAGAGTTTGTAACATGTCGTGATTATACGAGTCGATCTTGTTTTTGACAGACTAGAGGTGGAGATCAAATATACTACACATGATATGCCATTAATTTTTCTTCTTATAATCTTTTATTTTTTTTATAACTCTTCTCTATTTATCTAGAGGTCCCCCTTCCACTTTATATTATGGTAGGATTCGAATCCACTTTTTGGCGGAGCGATTAGAGTTTGTAACCTGTCTAAACTTTCTTCTTTACGAATATGATATTTTTTGGGCATTTCTAATAATATCAAGTTTAATTCCTATTTTGGCATTTTTAATTTTTGAAATTTTAGCCTCGATTAGCAACTGAAAAACTTTCTAGTTATAAATCCGGAATAGAACCAATAGGTCTATTTATCTAGAGATCCCCCTCCACTTTATATTATGGTAGGATTTGAATCCAGTACCTTTTAGCAGGCGTGACTAGAGTTTGTAACTCTGTCCAAACTAGAATTAGAAACCGATACTCCAACCACTAGGCTACTAGGATTTGCTAATAATAACTTACAAATAAATTATATTTATATACAAATAAATGTATATCCATGTATATATATAAATATAAAATATATAAATACAAATATATTTATATTTTTTGATATATTTATATAGTTATATATTTATATGTTGGATTTATTGTAATAACTTACAAATAAATTATATTTATATACAAATAAATGTATATTCGTGTAAATATATAAATATAAATATATTTATATATTTTGATATATTTATATAATTATATAGTTATATGTTGGATGTAAGGGCATGCTCGAGAGTGAAAGTTTGTGTCGAGTGGGTTTTCAAAATTTAATGACAGAATATAATCTTTATAATTTATTTATATAATGATATAAAATAATTTTTTTCTTTATTTATTTTTATTTTATTTTAATTTATTCTTTTTATCTTTTTTTCTTCTATTATTTAATTAAAATTCTTATATTAAAATAATTTTTTCAATATTAAAAATACTTAAATATTTATTTTTAAAATTATTTAATTTAACAAATTATTATATATTAATCTAATTATGATTAAGGGTACAACTATTCTAACTTAGGCGATGGAGGTTGATTCGTCTGCAGTTTGGTTCGCAGAGTGAGGGACGCGAGGATGAGTGAAGGGAAACGGAGGTTAGGAATTCGATTGGGGAAGGAGATTAGAGGGACGATGGTTTTCGCTATTGCGATGGGGGCAAGGGAGTAGGCGAAGAAGGTTTTAGTGAGGGGATAGCTGGAAGTGGCGGAGCCGGGTTCCGATGGTTGAGTTGGGCGTGACCGGCTTGCGGTGGCGATTGATGTGGTGCGATGAAGGGGCAGGAGAATGGATTTAGAAGGTTGGGTCTTGGTAATGGTTGAAAATGAGGAACAAGGGAAGAATGAGTGAAAATGGAGGTTCTCGGGGAGGAAGCGAGTCCGTTAGAGAGACAAATGTTGAAAGTCTGTCTAAAAGTTTTATTAATTATTTTTTTAAAATAAAAAGACTTTCCACATCGGTTCCCAGCTGAACCGATGTGGAAAGTCTTAAAAAAATTTCAAAATTGTCACTGCGTCACTTTCTACATCGATTCTTTAAGAACCAATGTAGAAAGTCCGATGTAAAAAATAGATTATAGTGTTAGTCAATTATGAATCACATTCCTAATTTGATTTAGCATTACACACAAATATATTTCGATCAATTATGAGTCACTCTTCCGACTCGACTAAGTCTCAATAAATATATCTTACACTATCTAGATTTTCCCCTTAAACTTAGAAGAAAAGAAAAAAAAAAAAAAGAAGCAAACCACAAAATATAGAAAAACACTTATCCTTGAAAGTTTTTGTTAGGGAAAAATCTCTCATTGTCACTTCAA